GATCCAATAATCATCATCCTCATTTGTTCCCTGCTTCTCCGATTGAGTCGAGGCTGGTAGCTGTGGTTTCTATTTAGCTTCCTGTTTTCCTTTGGACTCCGATCCTTTTGTTGACAAAAGCGCCGATACCGGTATCACTTCGTCGACCGCGAACATCTCTTTGGCAGCATGTTGTTCCTCATACACCATTTTTACTCCATCCGGTGTTGGGAACTTCAGCATTTGGTGAAGGGTTGAGGGGACCGCTCTCATATTGTAAATCTGGGGGTCTTCCGAGCAGTGTGTTGTATCTCATATCGCCTTCAATCACATGGAACTTTGTTTCTTGAATAATTTCGGCTACATTTACTGGTAGGATTATTTCACCTTTAGTTGTTTCGCTTTCCATGTTAAAGCCATTGAGAATCCGAGTTATGGGTACGATCTGATCTTGTAGGCCGAGCTGCTCCACGACCCTATCGAATAATATTGGTTGAACTTCCTGGATCAATTAAAACACGTTTAACCTAAATTTTATTCATAAGGATAGAGATTACCAAAGCATCATTGTGGGGGTTGTGAGATCCCTTCTGCTTCCTCGTCATTGAATGATAAAGCACCTTCTGGCACATAGTCTCGAGTTTATTTTTATCTGGTGATTGATACTTTAGTGCTTTTGAACACGAGCCCTTGTGGAATATCGACCCCACCAACGATCATGTGAATCACGTGTTGTGGTTCTTTCTGCTCGTTTTTCCTGTTTGCGTCTCTGTCTCTGAAATGGTTTTTAGCTCGGTCGCTCAAGAATTCTCGAAGATGACCCTCGTTGAATAGACGGGCCAATTCCTCCCTTAGTTGTCTGCAGTCTTCGGTTTTATGACCATGTGTACCATGGTATTTGCATGTTTGATTGGGGTTCTTTTGGGATGGATCGGTTTGTAGGGGTCTGGGCTATCTAGTATCTTTGATGCTCCTAATGGCTGCCACAATACCTGATGCGTCTATGTTGAATTGTATTCTGACAATTGCGCTACTTCTGTGGGATTGGCATGTTTATCGAAGACACTTTTGCTCATGAGCCCTTGAGATCTCTGTCTTCGATCGTTCCTTCAATCATTTCGGATGAGATTGCATCTTGGGTCGTTATTTCTACGATCTGCGTTGTATGGTAGATACCGATCTCTGCTCGACTGGGGTTCTCTGTCGATATCCCTTTGAGTTCTGCCGACGGGCCTGTTTGGATAAGCAAAATCGGAAAGGGTCCCCAATTGATCATCCTCGACCCTGATCTTCGACTGGTATCGATTATGTACATCGGCCCAAGTTACCACTAGATATTCAATTAAATTCTGCTTTAGCTGTCGTGATGCCACCGAACTTCGTTCGTTCAAACCTTGAGTAAAGGCCTGAACAGCCCAATCGTCTGTAACCGGTCGTAGTTCCATGCGTTCCATATGAAACCGAGATACAAATTCCCTCAATATTTCGTTGTCTGTTTGTTTTTTATTGCTCCGGCATGTGCCTTTATGAATGAGTCTGCAAGCATGGCGAAGGAATCGATGGAATTAGGCGGCAAATTATGGTATCATATCATTGCTCCTTTCGACAAGGTTTCTCCAAATTTTGTCAGTAGAACATATTCAATCTCATCGTCTTAAAAGTCATTTCCCTTTATTGCGCATGTATAAGAAGTGACATGTTCATTAGAGTCGGTGGTCCCATTGTACTTGGGAATTTCTGGCATTCGAAACTTCTTCAGAATGGGTTTTGGTGCCGCACTTGGTGGGAAGGGCTTCTGTACAAATTTCTTTGAATCCATACCATTTAGAATCGGCGGTGCCCCTGGTATTTGGTCAACCCGGGAGTTGTATGTCTCCACTTTCTTATCATTTGCCTCGATTTTCTTTTCTCCCGATTCAATATGTTTAGTGAGCTCCTCGAACATTTTCATAATGGCAGGGTCAGTCCCCAATTCGTTGGCGTTTGACTTTTCTGGCACAGGCCCAGTCCTGTGACCGACTTCTGGTTCGATCCTACTCGGTGTTCGGTGCTAATTTTGTAGTTGTGCTATAGCGGCTTGTTGAGCCTGTAACATTTCGATTATAAATTGGAGGTTAAATCCACCATCTTCTCCACCCTGTGTACCTCGACCTCCTGATCGAACTTCTCTGTGTATGCTACCTTTGGGATCAATGCCTAAATTTGCCTTTAGGGCGACATGTGAACTGACATTGACGGGATTTGTAATTGGGGCTTCCTCGAGGTCAGCCTAAGGCTCCTCAATCTCTAGGGCGGCTATATTGTCATTTTACCCATGAAATCTGAGACCGTTATCACCATGTATAGGCGCTGCTTGTGAGTTTGACATGTTTATCCTGAAAACAAAGATTGTTACGAGAATAAGTGTAAAGCAGTGTGTGTTATTGGAATCAGTATTAAGCAATCACTATTATCCTTAGCCCCACGGTGGGCGCCAAACTGTTTACCCTTAAAATTGGATAACAATTAAACTTTTAATGAGGTTCTAAGGATACACGATTTCACTTAATACCGGTAGACAAATATGAAGATTAATAACAGAAATGAACTATAAAATAAGGCGAACCAGTATTGAAACGGAATTCAACCCTCGAGCTAGAGTGCCCTCGAACTGACTGATACCAAAATAATTAAAAATAAAGCAAGCTGATAAACAATCGTGTCAACAGGAAAGAAAATTGTATTGCTTTTATCTCTCTGAATCGTCTGTTACAAATGATTAGAACCCCCCTTTATATAGTAGAGGAGTTCTACTTATGGTACAATTCTAATTACAGAAGAAAACCCCATGATTAGCTAATCAACCATTTCTGATTTGATCCGTTCCGAGATTTACGCCATGATCCTTGGTCAGTCACCGAGATTTACGGCATGATTCTCGACCAACCACGGATATCTTGCCTTTCTGTTATTATGCTATCTTCGATCTTGATCGATGTCTGTCTCACTTGGCTTCGATCGCTACTAGCCTCGATCTTGACAGGTACCTCGGTTCCGAACTCGGTACCTTATCCTCGTGATATGGCATATTCCGTTACAAGGCCATCCTTCGATACAAACTTCCGGTCTCGGTCAGATAGTAAAATCGGGTGGGCCCGATTTTAACCGTATACAATACTATACTAAAGTATGAACACCCTAAGTTAGAAGTTGATTTATAAATTTACCCATCAAAAGCTAACTGATAGTTTTGCCCTTCAACCAATCCTACTCCTATAAAAAAAATTGTACAAAAATGTAACTTACATTCTAATAAATACAAAAGGTGAAGATATTGAAAAATTGTAACGGTTAATCACGATAATGGTGGTTAGACTCTTCAATTACCTGCCGTTATTGTGCTCTTCAAAAACCAATATAGAATTTTCAATTAGTTATAAAAGACACTTGAACAATTATTTATCAAGTGCAAGTAATCTGAAATTGAAGAGGCTATCGTTATTATCTCACCTTTGGTTGAATGAGCAGTAATTACCAAGAGGCAAGAGTCATATTCATGTTCTTTCTTATCTGTATGTTGTTATGTACATAATATTGTGCTTAATTTTCCGATATATAGGGAAGAATCTTGAGATATATACTTATTCATGTTTTGGATGTCCAAAAAAATCTAACAAATAGCTGGTCATATTCTTCAGAATTTTAGATCCTTTATATCCCACCAATATCAACTTTCTCCGTATCTGTGACGCTAAATGGAACTTTCGGAGAGTAAGGAACTTTCGGAGGTACTCTTTACTCTTTACTCTTTCCTCTCTCTTTATATTTTGATGTCTTTATCTGTATATATGAAACTTGCGGTGAACTCTCTTTGTGCTATGGAGTAGAATCTTATTAACTGATGTTAGTCTCAATTTTGTGGGAGGTTCTCAGGGGTATATGTAAATTGAGTATTTTGTAAATTGATTTATGCGGTTGAGTTTTATTTGCCACTTAGTTGTCATGGGTTGGTCTTATTATTTTAATTGTACCATTCATTGATGGGATTTGGAGGCACACTAAATAATTCATATTTGTATGAAACAAATCCATTCAAATGTTAACATATAAAAAGTCCGATTACCACTTTTATCGGATGGTATACTTTGTCTTTTCAGTGAGTTGAGAATTTACTAATTTCATCGTCTAATTTGTTGCAAAATTAGCAATAAATATTATTCCATTGGTAATTTTCTTGACCAGGTGTTAATATCTTTTGGTAATTTACTCACTCTCTCAGGTGATATTCTGAAGATAAGAAAACAAGGTTGAAATTCTGGGTTGTGGCTTGTACTATCACGATGTATGGTTAGAAGAGAAACAAAAAAGGAATGCCAAAGCTAGAAAGATAACGAGGGATAAGGGGTCATTTTCTTTTTATATCTTGCTATGGAGCAAATACTAACGCAATTATGCTTTGTCTGACAATGAATTAGGGGTGCGATGGCCAAAGAGCCAGCATGCTTCTTTGCCTTGAGAGTTGAGAGTTGAGAGTTGAGACATACACTATCCTTTCCTATGGAGAAGTTTTAGGCAAGGAATGGTCGGAGAGTGTTTTAATGTACTATAATCTTATATTGTTTTGAAATTGGATTTTTTTTTCTTTAAATTTTATTTTATTCCTCAATCACATGTAGAGGCGGATCTAGGATTTTAGTTCCATGGGTTACCCATTTAAACTTATGGGTTCATATCTACTATTTACTGTAATTTTAGTAACTTTTTACACATAAATTGATGCTTTGCGTCGAAAGTATCGGGTTCAACTGAACCCGGTAGTTGTATGGTGCATTTGCCCCTGATCACATGTTTTGATAATATTCATAATTTTAAAAAAAATAAACCTATTGACACGGAATACACGTGCAACGCACCTAACCAGAACTAGTACCAAAATAAAGGGAAAGGAATACCAATATTCAGAGCCCAGAGGGTTGCTGGATTATTGGAAGCAACAAAATTGTAAATCCTAAGATGATGACTAGAACTAGAAATTCTCTGCATACTTAGCTACCTGCTTGATGCCTTGTTGCATAAGAGAAACTTTAAAGAGCGCAAGAGTCACCATGGCAAACAAGAAAAAGAAAAGGAACCACATGACCTTGCTTGTTTATCGTTGCAATATATACAATGCGCAGAATGTATGAGTAGTGATTGGAACATTTATACGACTCGAGAGACCAACTAACGACAGTGTAAATATATCTAAATCGCAATGGAACGTTGGTAATCATTCAGATACATCTCTGCTATGGCTGTGTGCAACGCTACTCCAATTGGCAGGACATCCTCGTCGAGAAAGAAGTGAGGGGAGTGTGGGGCGTGGGTAGAGCCCACTTTTTCATTTCTGATTCCAATTTGAAACATAACTCCAGGGATCAATTCTTGATAGAAGGCAAAGTCCTCACCTGCCATAACCTTTTCAGCTTCCTTGATGTTCTCGGAACCAAGCAGGAGTTTGCCAACCCTCCCTACATGTTGATGTAAGCGCTCATCATTTATGCAAGCTGGATATGCTGGGAAATCCTCCTCTTTCATGTCAATGTACGCCTTACACCTATGCACAGCAGCCTGTCCTTCAATTACCTGCAGGCTCCATATAAATGTGTGTTACAACTGCACAAAGTTGCCACAAGAAATCTAGGTTCTGTTCACATTAATTAGTAAGAACTTGCAGCAATACTAGACATTGAAGACGATTAGCATCTAATTCAACAATGTGAAATAGAAATAGATGATTCAATAGTAAAAATAATAAGCTTCTATCTTGAGGACAGGCATAAAATTGATTTTGACAAAGAAAGAGAAGCAAAGCAGGGAAAGATGATCTGTTATGAATGCTAGAGTTACATGGCATCTTCATGGGAAAATTGCAAGCAGACCACAAAGTTATATCATTCATTCAACTTAGACTCATATATTCATGTGAATATGTGTTCGAGAATTATTCACCCTTAATCTTGTTAATTTGATTACATAGCTCTCAGTAGCTAAGAAGGCTCAGTTTAAGGCTATTAAGCATCACTCCAAAAAATCACTAAAATTTTTAAGAAAACTACATGTTAAAGACGTCTGGCAGAAAATCTAGTTTGCAGATGTTGATAGTCAACAACAGTCAGCAAACTACCTCTTTTACCCTCTTTTGAAGTTGAAGCAAGCCTTCAGTTGTAAGACTCCTCAGAGTTCCCCCAAATTCAACATAAGGCGGAATTACATTTGATGCTGATCCACCTCTGACATAAGTAATAGAAAGAACCTTCAGGCAGAAGTGAGAATTTCAATCTCAGTCAGCTTAACTGTCAATGAGGCTTCAGATCTCAAGCACTATACTGCTTCCACCTCAAAACAATTAGTTGTCTAAAACAAGAAATGTTCCTGAAGGGAATATATGCACCTACATAATTATGTGTCTGTGTGTCTCTGTGTGTGTGTAAACCAAAGATGTATACTTCTAATTAAGCATAGGCTACATACTTGACTATGAAGGGGATCTGCTTCTCTTGAGATGAGCTGCTGCAATGCCACAATTGCAAATGATGCAGCAAGTATTGGATCCACAGTAGCATGGGGTTCTGCAGCATGCCCACTTTTTCCTTCTATTTTTGCCTCAAAGAAGGAAACAGAAGCTAAAATGGGTCCAGGACTAGTAGCGATGCTCCCTGTAGGTCTTTTAAAATCAACATGCATTCCAAATATAGCTTCTGCATCACCTA